TTCCCGGGGTTGTGTTAATTGACCAAACAACCTGCCCTGTTGCTGATTTTGAAGAAATATCCTGTGACTCTCCCCCACGCTTGTACATTGTTCACTTCCACTGGTGTTTTCTTGTTTTTCCCCTTATTTCCCCCCCTCTTTTCCCACCCCATTTTCACTCCCATTTCCCCCCACTTTTTTCATTTTCCCCCCACTTTTTCACCCCCCATTTCTTTTTATCCCCCTCTTCTTTTTCCCCCCCCTCTGCTCTTCCCCGTTTTTCCCCTTTCCTCTTCCCTGAGAATGCCGCTTGCTGAGGCTGCAGAGAGTGTGAGAACAACCAGAGAAATGCAATTTTGGCTTCCCCAGACAGAGCACTGCCACTAGGCAAGATCTGAAACCAGATAACCGAGGCTGAGCCAGACCTTCCCAAGGAATCAGCCGGGGAGCTCCTCGGGGGTGTTCCCAGCTGTGGCTCCGGGCAGCGCGGGTCAGGCTGCGCCCGGCCGGATTCGCTCCCTGTCGGACACATTCAGCACTCGGGGTGTGGAGCCCCGGGCTCTCACTGCAGTTGCCTGTGATTTATCACGGCCACACACGGGCTGCAGAGCTCCCAGCCGGGTGGTGGAGCACACACGGCTTTCGCAACAGGGGGATAATTACGGGCGTTGGAGCAGGGAGTGAAGCAGAGCCCAGTCCGGGACAGCTCCCAGAGATCCTCTCGGCTGTGCCGGAGTTGCCCCACATCCCTTTTTATGAGCCTTTTGGAAGCTGTGGAGACTGCGTGTCCACATGGCTTTTCAGGAGCTGCTGGCAGTGAATCATAGAATCCTCAAACGGATTGAATTGGAAGGGATCTTAAAGATTCATCCCCCTGCCATGGCCAGGGACACCTGCCACTATTCCAGGTTCCTCCAAGCCCCATCCATCCCTTCCAGGGATCCAGGGGCAGCCACAGCTTCTCTAGGCAACCTGTGCCAGTGCCTGAGCACCCTCACAGGGAAGAATTTCTTCCCAGTATCCCATTTAACCCTGCTCTGGAACAATGGTCAGAGCTATGCTGATGAGTGAGAGAAGCCAGCCCTTGCTGCAGCCTAATAAGCTCTGTATAAACAGTTTCCTCCAGAGCATGTGAATGATGGAGCTTTCAATGGATCTCAGGAGAAAAATCAGGACTGGACCCTGGGAAGACAAATTGTAGCTTCCAACAGCTACAGATTTTCTGAATGTTTGAGAGGGAGGCAATGTTTCCACTCACAGGACGTGCATGGCATTCAAGGAACTCAGCCTGGGATACCTGATGCTGCTGCGATTTATCCGGATTTCCCAAAGCTCCTGCAAGGCTTCTTCCATGCAGCACGTTCCTTAGAGCACTGGGAATTACTCGCCTGCAAAAGCAGCAGGGAGGAAGGAGCCAATCCTCCAGACACTCACAGTTGTAGGGCTGTTGTCACAGCAGAAGCTGTTCCAATGGAAATGGATAGACAGGATTCGAGTAGATGGGGCTGAGAGTCATCGGAGCGGTGCCGTGCGTGGAGAGGAGGATTGGTGTTGTCGTAACTCTTTGTGTGTTATTGAAGTGCCAAATGGATTAGGAGCTTTAAAAGCTTTAATTTCTGTGCTTTTGGCATCGTCTCTTGGAACGCGCGCATCTCTGTAGTGAAGCTCTGGAGAGGAAATGGGGCTTGAAGGGGTAGTCCCAGACTAGTTTCTTCTAATTTCACTTGCAATCAAGTGCTGGAGAGAGAGAGACAGATGCTGCAGCTGCATGATTACAGAACATGCAGCTGTTATCCCACTTGCTTCTTTTCCTGCTAATGAGGCATCAACTCTCTCCTGAGTTTGCTGTTTGGGTAATGGTTTTATTCTAGCACGAAACTAGAAGTGGTTTTAATTTTTCTTTATTCTGATCTGGTTTGGGTTCAGCAGCTGGAAAGATGGTTTTTCACAACCAGTCTGGTTTGAGGAAGGAGTTGCCCAGAGAAGCTGTGGCTGTCCCATTTCTGAAAGTGTTCAAGGCCAGGTTGGATGGGGTTTGGAGCAGCTTGGGCCAGTGGAAGGTGTCCCTGCCCACGGCAGGGAGTTGGAATGGGATGAGCTTTAAGGTCCCTTCCAATCCAAACCATTCTGTGATTTGTATGATAAGGAGGCAGCAATTCCAACTAGCTTTAAAGTGCTTGGTGGACTCTGCATGCAGCTGGATAGACTGAGCTGCTTGAAATTTTAATTTCCAATGCCTCAATGTCTTCTCACCATTAATCCAGTTCCTCAGCCACGAGCAATAAATGGGTGGTTCTGATTTAAGTATCTTTCAGTTCTTCACATTGTCTCGCACTTTCTTGGAGACTTCTGGGCACAGGCAGTTTTTCTGTGCTTTGTGAAGCAATACAAAGGTGGAGAGAGGATGAAGAGCTCTGCCACTCTCCCTTCCCAGCTGGCAGCAGCACAATAGTCGCTGGAAGGAAGCTCGGCAGGACTCTAATTTTGAGGAATGATGCATTTGCCTGTCAGAGGGCTGAGTTTGAGCTGTGTTCAAAAGCTCTGTCTCTGTGTTGTGCTGAGGGAAGAGGAGGGATTGCTGGATCCCAGGTGAGCTGGGAGCAGGGGCATCCCCCTCACAAAGCAATCCATGCAGTGCAGGTGAATGTGGAGGTGTGGAAAAACCTCTGAGTAGTCCATACTGAGGATAGGTTTTGTTCCATAGGTGCTGGCACTGAATCATAGAATCCTGCAATGGATTGGGTTGGAAGGGACCTTAAAGCTCAAACAGTTCCACCCCCTGACATGGGCAGGGAGACCTTCCACTATCCCAGGTTGCTCCAAGCCCCATCTAACTTAGCCTTGGACCCTGCCAGGGATGGGGCAGGCACAGCTTCTTTGGGCAGCCTGTGTCAGGGTCTCACCACCCTCACAGGGAGTTTATTCCTAATATGCCATCTAACCCAGCCCTCTGTCAGGGTGGAGCCATTCCCCCTTCTCCTCTCACTCCAGGCCCTTGTTCAAAGCCCCTCTCCAGCTTTCCTGTAGGCCCCTTCAGCTACTGGAATGGACAGTTAGGTCACCTGAAAGCTTCTCCAGGCTGCACAATCCCAGTTCTCTTACACCCCCTTCCCTCAATCTCTCCCAGCCTTTTCCTAACTTTAGAGCATCTATGGCATGAACAGTCACAGCTACAGCACCCAGTTTTTAGCAGTTACTCCAACTCATGAGAGCACGAATCCCCCAGGACATGTGGTACTAGGCTGGGTCAGGCTCCTGCCTTTGGAAACCTGAGAAGAACAAGGTGCCTGATGCTGGGTTTAAAGCAAACCATGGTTTTTTGTTTTGGGATTTTTACCAGAGGCTCAGTCTCTCAGTAGGGACAGTAGAAAATAATATGAAAGTTTCAAGGAAATCACTGGTCCATATAGCCTGGGAAGAGTTGTCCTCCCCAGGGCACATTCGGCAGGATACCTGTTCTGCCTCTGCCAAATCCTGCTCTGCCTGATCCATTTTTAAAAATTGTACTCCTCTTCTAAACTCCAGAGGTTGCATATGGTCAGTTTAGCCTTTTGTGCAAGAATAATTCAATTCTGGAGGAAATTCTATCTGACTTGATCCTCCTAATTCCCAGAGCCTGATTTTCTAATAAGAAAAATGTAGACATATATAAGTGTTTGTTCCCCACCAAGCTCTCCTCCTGGGGCACCAGCCATGGGATATACCCTGTTTAAGGGGGTGAAGGAACTCAGTCACCCCAAAAACACATTGCCAAGAGGATGACATCTAAAAAAGCACCATGCAAACCCCAGCGGGTTTCAATTCCTGAATTTCCCTTAGTTAATGCATATATAAGTAAGGCAATTAAAACACATTGGGCTTATTTCAAATAGATAATCTAATTATCAGCTTGATTAAACCATATCAAATGAACAGTTCTTGTAATTCGGGAGCTTTGTTCTAATCACTGCCAAAGCAGTAGGAGCTTTAATTAAAAGCCTCAAAAGTGGCAGACCAGTGTCAATTGAGGGGAGTTACAGCCTGAATCCTGATTGCAGGGAAGAGCAAACCCATCCTAGGTGGATGCTGATAAAAAGATCAGCTCTTTGCTGCCAATAAATGGAATTTGACCATTTTGTAAATACCATTGAATGAAAGTAATTGTCCTTTGCTGCTGTTTCTGGTGCTCAGAGACAGACTTCATTAAATCTATTCCACTATCACTCATTTACACTGACATTTTTAATGTCTGTAGGTTGGTATCACCCAGCCATATCCTGTCTCAGCCTTGGACCTCCAAGCTGTAGACTGCAGAATTTCTTAATTAAAAATTGGGTGCCGGATAACTCAGGAAGCCCAGGCTTCTTTTTCCTGCCACGAATGTATCTTTGGGGCCCCTCTGCCCATTGTGATTTGGTGTTCAATGCCCACAGCTTTTATAAAACACAACTACAGGGAATGACAAGAGCAGTGGGCAGCCAGGTTCCAACCTGCACAGAGATTTGCATGTATTTAATTTATTAATGTTGGCAGGTCTCTGCTTAATAGCCTAAGTTTTCTTTTCACCTGAGTAGGTGGACTTTTTGTTTTTCTTTTGCCTAATTGTCTCAGAAAATGAAACTGGAACAGCCTGCCTGTATCAACATGCAGGCAGTCACAGGCCGGGGGTTATTTCTGCTCTGTGCCCTGGACCAGCCTTCAGATTTTGGAGATTTGATGGGAATTTGTAAGATGTTAGGAACAGCATCGGTGGAAGAGTGAGCTGGGTGGACAGCTCTCTGTACGGACCCAGCTTTCCCCAGCTGCTGTGGCATTTGCCATCACCACCTTGCTTTTAATTACTGTCGTGTTCCATGGCTTAATATTAAACCACATCTAATTGCATCCTGTCTCTTAATTGGCTTAACTGGCCATCACCCAAATAGACTCTGCTGTATAGAAACAAGCTTCCCCAAATATTTCCTAATTGGCAGTTGGTGCTTTGTGAGGAGATGGGACCCTCTCAGCGATATTAATAGATGTTTTCTCCCGTTCGTTCCCAGGATTGGACATTGATCCTATGACGCATGCCCGGAAAAAACAACTTTTCCTTCTGAAACATCCAGCTGGTTCTGCTGGCCAGGCCTCGTCGCCAACAGGCAGCAGGAGGATGGACAGGGCCAACGCAGAGCAGCGGGATGGAGATGCCTCGAAGGCTCCAAAGTGTCCCAGTGGGTTTGTAGGGAATAACAAAAGCAAGAGTTTGCGCGAAGTGCGAAAGACGTACCCGCTGCGGAGGCGGCTGCTCCCCTCGGTGAGCAAAAAGACCTGCAAGGTCCTCCTCACCAGGCTGGAGGATGTGGCTGGCTCTCTGTCCAAACAGACCCCGAGCTGTAAAAAAAAGCACCTTGCCAGCTGGGTTGAGGGTTTGGGATCTGCTTTGTTCTCAGAACAAGTTCAGCCTGTGGGAGCGGGCAAGAGTGACTCATCCGGGGAGAAGTGCACAGTAACTTATCCCGGGCCGGAGCAGGACTTTGATCCTGCTCCCTCGGAGCCCAGGAAGCGCCGGCTGGCCTCGCTGAACGCCGAGGCGGTGAACAACCTCCTGTTCGAACGGGACGATGGCTTGTTATCCGGCAGGCGCTTCCGCAGGGACTCTGGGAAGGCTGCTGGGGACTGTACCCTCAAGGGCTTGCAGTGCAAAGCCGGTGACAACTGGCCTGCCCTGGAAAAACCGGCTGTGAAAACAGGGAAAGGAAAGAACCGGCATGAGCCCAGTCAGAAATGCAATAGCTGTGAGCATTCGCTGGATGAGGTCTTTGATGATGGGGCAAAGAGGGAGGATGGTGCCATCTCCTACCATCCCACCCCAAAGAGACTGGCCAGCCTGAATGCCGTGGCCTTCCTGAAGCTGACCCACGAGAAAGACCAACCCCTGAAACAGAGGAGTAAATCGGACGGGGAGGGCAAGTCTGAGAACCACTGTTCGAAATCTACACTCAAATGGGCCAAAGCCGGACGGAAGAACTGTGTCAAATCCAAGAAGGAAGTGGCTAGCTTAAAAATGGATGGGCAGCATGGCTGGCAAGGCCAGACCCTGGGCACGTTTGGGAAAGGGGAGCAGCGGGACTCTTCCAGGCTCTATGGAACAACAGAGCCCGTCCCCTACGAGTCGCTGTCTGGCTCCTACGCCAGCACGGAGGGCTTCTACCACAGACTGCCTTTGCTCATGGGAGGACAAGCTTCCATGAAGCCGGAGTATGGAAGACCTGGAGAGAAATCCCCAACCCCCAAACAGGAATTTCATCAGCCTTCCTTTCCCGTGCAGCAGTTCCCTCCCTTGCCTGTGCCCGGGAATCACGCGGATTGTGGATGTCTCTATGAATCCTCAGATCTGACTCCGTTGAACGGGTTTTATGTTTATTACGGCCAAAGCGGATACAGTGGCTATTCCCCCTGCTCCATTTATCCCAAGGACGAGCTGTCGCAGGCTGCGACCTGCGAGGGGCTCCTGGTATCTTCCGGTTCCTTGCCATCAGGTGCTCATTTCCAGCCCCTGCACTGGTGCAGCTCTCCGTACTGCTGCGGGGAGGGAGCAGCCGTGAGCAGCTACAGCGTCTGCGGCGTGGTGCATGTGCCGGAGGGCAGGATCGGCAGCGTGCATGCGGGACGGAACAGCTACCCCTACAAAATGCCTTTTGCAGCAGGTAAGGCGCAAAGTGCACGCAAATCCCGGCCGGCGTTCCTGGGAGAAGAGGGTGGCTCGGCGCGGTGCCTGCTTGCCTGGAGGCTGGTTCCCTCTGCGAGCAGTTCTCAGCTCCACAGCCGAGCTGCGGCTTGGAAGGGATCCGCCTTCCACCTCCCCTTCCCCCGTTTGTTTGCCCGGGGGGTTTTTCCCACTGAAAGGTCTTGTTGGTGTGGAAAGCAGAGAATCGGTGAAAGGATTTTGGCAGCGAGAAGTTGACTCACGGTTTGTCACGCTGGAGCTGAGGCTGAGCTTTGATCTGTGTAAAACGAGCAGGGTTCAGTTCCTGCACGCCATCCCGCTGTGCCACGCTGAGCCCAGGGTCGGGAGCACACCAGGATGAGTTATTCCCATCCCAAAGCCTCGCTCTGGGGGGCTGAGGCATCCTCATAGAGCCTGTGGAGAAGCAGGCATTGCCTCTGCTGTTAGACTCTAGTAGTGCCAGCTCGGGGCTGCAGGCTTTCTGGATTCCATGGATTGATCAGAGCTGGCAGGGCTGCATAGGGAGTTTCACTGTGGTGGTCTAAGTGCCAGGCACACTGTTAGTTTGGGAATTCTTGAGCCCATCTTTGCTCTCTGTCTGACAATGAAGCCCTGGAATGAGGAGGGGTGAGGGGGTATGGAAATATCTTTACCTGCCTGGGTCTCCTCTGTCCCCGCCTGCTTTTCAGACTTCCTGTTTTCTCTTGGAGCTTTGCCTCTGCCATTGAAAAATACCTTTTTAAATATTTAAGAGTGGAGTACTGTGTGGGGGTTATCAGACACCAGTGCTGTATGTAACGCCAGGCTGGACAGTGCTGCAAACAGTTGGTCTGTAGAGGAGGCTGCTTTCCAGCTGCTGGGAGTGCCAGCGTGGGATCTTTCCACTAACCACGTGTTCCAGCCAAGAGCTGGCATGACTTACCCACTGAGAACAGATTTTCAGGTAGGTGGATGGAGTTTTGGTTCAAGCGAGGCTTTGTCATCTCCCGTTGTAGGAAGCTGCTGAAGCTCAGGAGTGTTTGGTTGAAGTGTAATTTCTGTTTTCTCGAAATATCCCCGCTGTCATGGTGCTGCTTCCTACAGCAGCAGCCAGACAGGGCTTGCTGGTGCCTTCAGAGCTCTTGAAAGGGGAATGCTCACAAGACAACCAGCTCAGCAGTGTGTTCTTGCCTGACAGTTTCTGTGTAGCGCCCCGAGGTCATACCAGTCTACTTTGTTCCTCAGCTTTTGCATGCTAGTGCCTCTGATTTTGTGCAGCCAGAAGGATGCAGGCAGTGCAGACAGAGTATTTTCCAGAGCTCAGCCCTCCCTGTGGATTCTGTGATTTCTCCTGGTGCTGGCAAGGGCAGCAGCAGTTCCAGGAGTGGGTATTTGCTAGTGTGTCACCCCGCTACTGAGATCTCCCTTGCTGTGATTTCCTTGCTGGGAGCAACTTGGATTTAAAAACCTATAACACCAGAATCATTGAGATTTTGGTTTGTGGATTGAAGAATATAAGGAGGTCTCAGAGAATATTGATGGTGCCTTAGGGATTGATTTCTATATAATTATGCACCTCTGAAATATTTTCCTTCCCTAGAGTGAACTGAAGGAGCACTTTGGCTGCAAGCAGCAGGCTCCCATCAGACAGGGATCCAGCCTGACATGCCAAATGCTGTGTGTTACATCTGTCTGATTTGGTGTCTTCCAGGTGTTTGTAGGGAACTATCAGTGTCTGTGTGGTACAAATCCAGGGACTGGGCTGTGATCTTGGGCAGTGGTTGGGCAGTGTGGAAGCAGAGTGGTGGAAAGGAGCTGGGACAGGCTGTGAGAGCTGCTTCAGTGCCAGTGCTGTTGGAGAGGCTGAAGTGTGTGTGACCAAGGAAGGAGTCCCAGGGGTGCCAGCAAGAGCAGTTCTGCACCAGGGCTCTGATGTTCAATAAAGATTTTTGTGAAGCTTTATCTTGCTCTAGCTCAAGCTTAAAAGCTGCTTTTGTAAGCAAAATACCTGAGAGGTGATTCCTTGCTCCATGTGTCTTGTGCCTGCCAGTGCCTGGGGTTCTTGTGGCATTTGCTACATGGGGTTGATTTGATTTGATTGATTGATGAGGATGATCTGTGGCATCCCTTGCACTCACAGCTCCAGAGTGGCTTGGCTGAAGCCCTTAGGGAGGGTAAGGTGGGGAGGCAGGAGTCCCAGCAGTTCTTTGGCTGGAGCTGTGTGGCTTTGGGTGGAATTCTCTCTTCAGATTTGTAAGCTCTGGTCTGAGGCATCTCCTGGAGCCTGACTGGAGCTGTGCTTTAGTCACCCCAAAAAGCACAGTCTCCCATTAGGGAACAGGGGTGCATGATGTGTTGGTCCGGGAGCTCTTTTCCCGCTGATAGGGCATAATTACAACTGGTTCTTCCCTTGGCCTGGGTTGAGACTTGTTTGTGACTCCTGAGTGGAACAATGTATTTCTGGGATGCTCTGAGAAGCAGCGTCAGCCAAATTCCAACCTGCTGAGGTTCCTGTGTCTGCTGCAGGGACACAGTTTTGCTGAGGATGCAGCATCTTGTGGTTGTGTTCCACCTTGTTTCATCTTTCTGGACTTAATTTGGAGAATCTTCTCAATTTTCCCTGATTAGTAGAATTTGGCTTTTTGAAAGAGGCTGGCTGCTTTTGGCAGCGTGATTTAATCCTTCTCATTGTTTCGATAAGCCTTTTATTTCTTTTATACATATTGACAGGCTGGAACTGCTTTGGACACTGGCCAGCCTTGTGTGTATTCCTGGCTGGCATTACTTGGGATTCAGATGGGTTTGTTGTGGTGCAGTGTCATCTGCGGAGCACTGGAACACGCAAGCTCGGAAATGGCTTTGCTTTTACAATCCAGTGACAGTGCAAAATGAAATTACAGCCTGGAGAGTCTTTACAGCTATAATGCAGTAAAGGGGATTTCAGGCAAAAGCGGCCACGGTGTGGGACAGTCCCGGCTGTGTAGTTGCTTTATGTTCCAGATGAGATCCGTGACTCATTTCTTCCCTTCCCTTAGAAGGCTGCAAGTCTCTGGACCAGCTGAACCTCACAATCCCGGTGGCAGGACACCCCGCGTCGCCTGCCCACCCGCTCTCAGGATGTCCCGTGCCCAGCGTGCCGCCAGCTGCAGAGCCCGTTCCTCACCTGCAGACCCCCAACTCTGACCCTCAGACCATGGCCCGAGAATGTCCTCAGAGCTCCAAGCCCCCCAGCGGCTCCAAGTCGGGGCTGCGGAATACTCCAGGCTGCCTGCACGCCTCCAACAGCAAAGCGGCGGGCGGCCACTCGCACCCCAAGCAGCAGCGGATCGGCCGGCGCAGAGCCACCAACGGCTGGATCCCCGTGGGCACGGCCTGCGAGAAGGCTGTCTACGTCGTGGTAGGTGTCTGAGTGCTGGGGCTGGGTGGGGACAGCCGCCTGTGAGCCTCCAGGTGTGAAGGCTTGGGAGTTGTGGGGCCCTCTTCCAGCTGGAGGTGGTCACTAGGTGCTGTCTAGAACCTCCCGGGGGAATTCTGATGGGAGCAGAGGCACTGCTGGCTCTGTTCCCTGCGTGTCCTGCTGTTACCTTGCACGGTGTGGTTTGGGAGGGGAGGAGAACCTGCTGCTCCTGTGCTGGCCTCAGCTCAAAGGTGACGGATCCTCCCAGCTCCGGCATGTACAAGGGTGGCACCCGAGGCACGTGGGAGTCCATCCTACTGGGATCATCCTCCAGCTGCTTTCTCTTGGGTAGGGCAAACCTGTCTGAGAAGCTGAGGGTTGTTGTAGCCTCAATTATAAGGGGCACATCTAGAGGCAGCTCTCATAAGGTGGCTCTCACTTAGGGTGTCTGTACCCCCACAAGAATCTCCCAGCACACAGAGGACTGAGATAGTCTAGTGGCTCCCAGGTGGAATTTTTCTAGCACTCGAAATCCCCTTTCTTGTAACTTGCATGATGGTGTGGCCAGTTGCTTCTCCAGGGATTTCCTGTCTGTACTTTCCCATTTGTTGCATTCAGGGGCAGAGACTGGTTCCTGTAAGATGGGAGATTTCCTGCCAGAGAATTCAATTAGGTCCAGTCAAGTCTGCTTCAATTGTGAGAGAAGGCAATATCCTTCATCTTATTAAAGCATAAGAGCTTGAGATGGGCCCCACGTGGTGTCTGGGAAGGTGGGACAAGGCACTGATGTGCAGTAGATGTCAGGAGGAAGGAGGGCCATGGTTGAGGCAGGATCTGTGCTGCTGCTTGGTGTGGTGGCACAACCTCGGGCTGCTGGGAGCAGCAGCCAGGGCAGGTTTTGGAGCTTTAGCCTTTGGGGCTGTGTCCAGGTGCCAAGGACTGTGCCAGAATGAAGCCTGTCAAGGCCAGGGACTGGCCTTGTGCATCCACCCCTCAGGCTGTCACACCCCAAAGGAGCAGTGAGGCATTAATCTCCTTAAGATGCTTCCAATCCTGCCTGGGAGATCTGGCAGGAGGTTAAACCATCCTGCTCAGGCATTCTGAAATGAAACTCAGAGCATAAGCAAACTAAAACCGCCTGGTTCATAGTCCCAAAAGTGATTATTTCGTACTGTCAGAGGGTACAAAGGAATCATTGGCAGTCCTGCTAAGGAAGGCTTTGTGCCACGGCCTCCCTGCCACTCCCTGCCCTGCTTTTGTCAAATATTTCATATTTTATTGGGTTTTTACCATGTTTGTATCAGAGAAAAAGCATCCAAAACACAATTTTCAGTGCCTTTGAATGGGAAGAAAAAGCAGGCCTCCAGGTAGGCAGGTGGAAAGGTGATTTTCCTGAAGATTGTGGTTTTGTGTGCAGAATGGAAGGAGTGAGCATGTTTTCATTTGAAATCAGAGTATTAATTTCAGCAATTAGGGCTTTTGTGAGATGTGCTGTCCCCCTGGTGAGCTGCCTCTCACTGCCAGCACTATGGAAGAGAACCATGAAGTCACTCTTTGCCCGTTGACTGGGTTGTTTTGGTTCCTGTGTGTGCAGAACGAGCCCGAGCCGGCCGTGCGCAAGAGCTACCAGGCTGTGGAGAGGGACGGGGAGATCATCCGGGTGCGGGACACCGTGCTCCTCAAATCCGGGCCCCGCAAGAAATCCATGCCCTACGTCGCCAAGATCTCTGCACTCTGGGAGGACCCCAAGACAGGTACTGTGCCAGGACAGTGTGTGTGTGTGTGTGCTTGACAGAGAGCTGGAAGCAGGGAAGGAATGGATCCAGGGAGAGCTGCAGGCTGGTTCGGGTACCAGGGCGATGGAGATGAGATGAGCGCCATGGCTTGCATTTGGATTGTTCCAGGAACTGAAATGCTCCTTAATCACTCGTCTGGGGCTGATAAATGGAAATCTTCCTGGATATGGAAGCACGGAATATTTGCCAAGTGCCCGTCTTAGCAGCATTTTCCCATATTATTTCATTGCTCAAACATCGGGGGAGCTGCTGTTTGCTCCAATCCAACATCTGGTCTGGGAGCTGTTGGGAACAGGGCACTTCTGCAGCAGCTCTGATGGACCCCAGTAGAGCTGGGGATGGGATTTGTGGGGCCTTATGGTGAGATCTGGTGTCTGACTGGCAATCCCTGAGCCAAGGATGCTGAGCCAAATGCTTTAAAGTAGAGGTTGTGCTTTAAAGGGGGGAAAAGAAACCCCAAAAATTCTGCGTAAAAGACATAAATTGAGGCATGGTGAGGCTCAGTGTGGTTGTGTCAGTGCAGCAGCAATTCGCTCTGAACCTGGGAATCAATGCTGCAAGTTTGGACGAGTATCTTTTCCAGCTTGTGTGCTGAATCGATTTTTTTTTGCAGGTGAAAACATTTGATTCTTGCATCTTTGGGGAGTTTTTTGTGCCTGACTTCCTTGGGATGTTGTAACCTGAGTAGAAGGAGGCGAAGGTGTAGTGGAAAAGCAACATGACCGACTCCATGCAGCTTCTTGCTGTAACAAAGGGACACCTAGTTCAGCATGAAATATTTATCAGCCACAGCTGCCTCTCCGTGAGCACTGTGGGAATGAAGGGGATGGAGCAGCAGGAGGAAGCTGGGAATGAGTAGGAAAACACTCGGAGAAGCTGAGGCTTGACTTGTTTTCCTCTGTGCTGTTGCAGGGGAGCTGATGATGAGCCTCCTGTGGTATTACAGACCAGAGCACACTCAGGGAGGCCGCAACCCCAGCATGCACCAGGTGAGTCCCCATGGGGCAGGGCATCCCGGGCTCTCTGTGCTCCTGCAGCAGGAGGGGAGCACTGCCCCAACATCTCCCTGCGTTCCTGGGTGGCCTCCAGCTGAGTACAGCAGAGCGCTCTTGGCTGTGATGCTACTGTTGCCAGATGTGTGGAGTGGTGGTGTCCTGTAGTTGGGCTTTTCCCCCAGATTTATTGTCCTGTGGAGAAAATCTGGGCTCTCAAAAAAGCTGCTGAGTTTCTTACATGGAGGCTCTGCCAGAAACTGCTGATGTTGATGTTTCTCCCTTTAATCTGAGAAAATTCCATATATTAGGTAAAAAGTAATTTTGACTGTTGCCTTAAAAATAAGGAAGAAAAAGTTTATACTGAATCAAGATCAGACACCTTTCCAAAAGCACATTCTAATTCCTACAGGACTGCAGAGCCTGATGCAAAAGCTCCTGCTGCCATTTTGCAGGAAACTGAAGTGCCTGTGTCATGTGCTGCCTTTTAATAAATCCCTTAATCTGCTTCTTAAACTCCAAAAACGTGTTAGTTTTGTACAGAAACGTGGATGCATCATCCTTGCCCTGCATAGATTTATGCTGAGAACTAAAGTCTGGCTTGAGGATGCTGTACCAGGATAATGGAGTTGCTTTTTAAAGAAAAAAACGTGTGAATCACTGTGACTTCACGCCTTGCTCTGCTTTGCATGGGCTTGTGTTGGGTGACAGAACAAGCTGGTTTTAACTGGGAATGAAGAATTCACTGCTGTGTTCAACCCAATTTTAAAAACTTGCTTAATTTCCATTACTTTTTTAAATAAAAAGGGATGGAGGGTTTGAGAGCAGCCAGGGAATTGTAGCTGCCTTGTTTGCAGGGCACAGGTGAGTTTCTAAACCAAAATGTGGCACTTTATAAATGAAAGGTGAGTGTATCCAGTTGCATTTCAGTCCAGGTAGAATGCCAGGAGGAATTAAGCCAGGTTTTTGCAAACCCATTTAAATTACACAATTCTTCAAACAAGAGAGAGCTTGGGCTGAGGGCTGGGCCAGGCTTGCCAGGGTGACTCAGGTAGTTTTGACTCGAGGAGTAAACCAGAACCCCAAGGTGCAGAAGGCAGGTGTGGCATTCCCAGTGTCCCTGATCAACCCTGTCCCCAGATGTTCACCCTTTTGTGAGTTTTCCCTTCCAGCAAAGCAGAAATGGAGCCTGCAGGGAATATTTCCAGACTTGTGCAGAGCATCCATGTTCCCAGAGATCATCTCTGCTGATCTAACCATACCTGAAATTCTTCTCAGTGGCTCTGTCCGGGTTACCCTGTGTATAACCAATCCTGCCTGCTGCAGAGCCAAATTCCCTAAATTACTCTGGGAAAATTTGAAGAGGAGCTTGCCAGTAGAGGTTGTGGCTGATCCTCCCTGGATGCGTTCCAGGCCAAGTTGGATGGGGCTTGAAGCAACCTGGTCTAGTGGAAGGTGTCCCTGCCCATGGCAGGCGGTGGAATGAGATAATCCTTAAGGTCCCTACCAACCCAAACCATAGCAGGATTCTATTCCATGATTCTGAAAAAGGCTGTTGCTACTTCTCTCACTGAACCAGCCTTTTTAATTGAATTGGGAGGAGGAAGTGGTTGGATAAGAAGGGTTTCTTTAAGTTTTTAAGATAGAAAGATGGATTAGAGAATCCAGAAGGAAAGGGGAGACCGAGGGGTGCAGCCAGCCATGGCCTTGCTGCTGAAGAGCTTTGTGACATTGGAAATTCATGGAGTATTGGAGCACTTAGTCTCATAAAATGTGCTGGACAGGGTGAGATGGTGGGAGAATCCTTTGCTCACTGTTGCTGGATAAAATGTGGTGCCCAGAGCACATGGCAGGTACCTGGGTTACGTGGGACATTGGCTCTGAAGAGTATTCACCATGGGCGTGCTTTGGTGACTCCACGTTAAGGTGATGGGTGAAGGTGCAGAGCTCCCCATTCCCTCTCTGGGTGGGTGAGGGTGTGGAGCTGGCCGTGCCTCCCGGGGCTCCGGGCCAGCTGGGTGACCTGTCTGTCCCCTCCCCTCCTCGCACAGAATGAGATCTTTGCGTCGCGGCACCAGGACGAGAACAGCGTCGCCTGCATCGAGGAGAAGTGCTACGTGCTGACCTTCGCAGAGTACTGCAGGTAGGTGGAGCTCTGAACCTGCTGCACTTCCCAAACCTCCCCCTGCCTCCAGCCTCTCTCATCCTGCCCATTCCAGCCAGCCCAGCTGTCCCAGCCTGCGGGCTGTGGTGTGGCTGGAGCTGGGGTAGTGACATTTGCTCTGCTGCAGGCAGGGGGCTTCTCCTGCTCCAGATCCATTACATGTCGGGATTGTGTAGGATCATGGAATCTTTTGGGTTGGAAAAGACCCTCAAGATCATCAAGTCCAGCTGTTCCCCTGGAGCTGCCAAGGCCACCACTGACCTGTGCCCCCAAGTCCCACATCCACATAGCTTTTAAATCCCTCCAGGGATGGGGACTTCACCACAGTCTGTTCCAAGGCCTGGCCACCCTTTCCCTGAAGGAATTTTCCCAGTATCCAACCTAAATCTCCCCTGGTGCAACTTGAGGCTGCTTCCTCTCAACCTGTCCCTTGTTCCCTGGGAGCAGAGCCTGACAGGCTCTGTCTGCACCTTCCTGTCAGGGGCTTGTGGAGAGCCAGAGGTCCCCCCTGAGCCTCCTTTTCTCCAGGCTGAGGCCCCCCAGCTTCCTCAGCTACTCCTGGTGCTCCAGACCCTTCCCCAGCCTCTTTGTGCTCCTTTCAAGGGACTCCCAAATATCGATGCTTGTATGACCACTTGCATGTGGTTTCAAGGAAGACAGGAACAGGTGTACAGGAAAACATGGAACTTGGAGCTAAAAACTGAGTTAGGAAGTGATCCTATATGTCCATTCCTTGTTGGACACAGGTGCCAGACCAAAAACCTGCTGATACAAGTGCCAGTGTTTGTGCTGGACACCAGATCCTGGATTTTGGCAGCAGCAGCCCTTGGAGCAGTGACTTGGGCTGTTATAGTTGAGCTCTTGCTGATTGAATTGCAGCTTTGTCAGTAAGAATTTCCCAGCATCCATATTCCAGCCTGCCATCCTGTGATGGGTACACAGGGCTGAAGGAAAATAGGGATTGAATTGGCACAAACCCATAATGCAAACCAGTGCTTTAAATCTCAGTTCTGCTGGGTACATCTTGTGGTCTGTGCAGCCCTGCCATGGAGGAGATGCCTGAGGCCTCCTCCTCAGCCTGCTCCTTGCCCAGGGCTCTGCTCTTGGAATTTCTCAAAACAAACTGGTGTACAAACTCTTTACAAGTTGAATTTTGATCTTTCTTTTGAGAACACTTAAAAACCCCAAACAAACAAAAAAACCCCAACCTAACCCCAAGAATAACAAACCAAACAAGGCCAACCAAACAAAATCCCCCATCCCCAAGCTTTGGATCAAAGCAGTTCCTTTCCATTCTAACACCCCAGTCTTCTGGAACAGCTACTGGCAGGAGTTCTTTCATGCTCTTGTGGGTCAGGTCATCTTTGAGAGATGTTCCCTGGAGGCATCCTGAATTCTTTGTTTTCCTAAACATTGGTTCATAAGCATTTATTAGGGACTAATTAGAAAAAATGAAGCCAAAGTAGTAAAAACAAGGTTTTAAAACTTTTTTTTTTAATTGCTATCATCTTTGGTGCTGTACGATATCCACCAGTATGGAAATACAAACTTGTGTTGCTTCCTGCAGGAGTTCTCTTTGAACAAAGCTTTGTCCACATTCCTTCCCTTCCCCTTATCCCCCAGCAGCTGCAGTTGTGGCTCCCAGCAGGACACAGGCAGCAGGAGAGGGAATGAGTTCATGGTCCCCAGCACAGAAAGGACATGGACCTGTTGGAGCGAGTCCAGAGGAGGCCATCAGGTTGATCAGAGGGATGGAGCACCTCTCCTATGAGGAAAGGCTGAGAGAATAGGGATTGTTCATCCTGAAAAAGTGAAGGCTTTGGAGTGACCTAATTTCCCCTTCAAGTACCTCAAGGGAGCCTACAGGAAAAATGGAGAAAGACTGTTTACAAGGGCCTGAAGTGCCAGGACAAGGGGGAATGGCTTCACACTGCCAAAGGGCAGGGATAGATGGGATATTAGGAATAAATTCTTGGCTATGAGGGTGGTGAGGCCCTGGCTCAGAGAAGCTCTGGCTGCTCCATCACTGGCAGGGTCCAAAACCAGGTTGGATGGGGCTTGGAGCAACCTGGACTAGTGGAAGGTGGAACCTAGTGAAAGGTTCCTGCCCTTGGCAGGGGTGGGACTGGATGAGCCTTTATGTCCCTTCCAACCCAAAGCATTCCAGGATCCTCTAACTCTTTCGGTGTGATTGCCCTGCAGATTTTGTGCCTTGGCAAAGCGTCGAGTTGAAGGGATCCCGGGCAGGAAAACCATCATGGTTCCTCCCTCGGAGGAGTATTCCACCCCTCTGCACCGCAAGGTGCCCGAGGACACGGACCCCGAGCTGGTTTTCCTCTGTCGTCACGTCTACGACTTCAGGCACGGGCGCATCCTGAAGAACCCGCAGTAGCGCAGCCTTGGCTCGGAGCGGGCGGCACCGGAGCGCCCACCATGGCCTGGGACACCTGTGCACTGTCACCCACCTCATGCTGCTGCAGGTGGGAGCGCCCAGCGCTCCGCCCTGGGACTGGGAGCGTGCGAGGAGCGGAGCCCCTGGAGGGGGAGGCAGCAGCTGAAAGCACAGCACTTCATTAAAAGCATAAATGAAAATATATACGTAAAAAAAATAAATATATGTATATAGATATAGGGATTTGCATAAGTAAATCTATATCTATATATGTATGTAGAGCTGCATCTATTGGGAGGGTTTGCAGGGGATAAAAGCCAGGAAGCAGTGCAGAGCCATGGCTGGGGGAACGGCACCGATGTGCAGGAGGGATGTGTCAGTGCAGTGTTTGTGGAGTCTGGCTGGGACAGTCGGGGGTTTTCAGGCCCTGAACTGAGCCCAGCTCTTGGCAGAGCACAGGAGAGTCTCCTTGGTTCCACAGGACAGACTCTGAGGATTCCCATGGTGAGAGCTTCAAAATGCAGCTTGGGGAGCTGCCTGGGTGCAGAGTGGCCTTGTGTCATGCTTGGATAGGTGTTGCTCCACCAGGGGAAGAGGCGACCCCTGTTCTCCCCTGTCTTTTACCTCCCCTCACCTCACCACCTAGACTGGGGCTTGGAGCCTGCTCCATGGTGGAGCAGAGGGAGCTGGCAAGGTGGCAGGTGTCACACCGCAGTGTAGGGTTAGAGCTGGTCCTGTCCCAGGTGTCCTGAATGAGCCCACAGGATTTTATGTCCCATTCCCAAGGCCCGGCACTCGTCGCTTGGAAGCTTGGAGCTCACAAAGTGGGCTCTGATGGGGAGAACCATGTTTCCTCTTCTCTTCTGAGTGTTGCTCTTCCTCTGATGGCTCAGGGGGCCCTGGATTTTCTCTTTCTTCCCAGTTTGTTTCCTTTAATGTCGTTTACAGACCCTGCTTGTCCCCATGTGTCTGCAGTGGGAAGAAGCCAGAGGGGGAAGTGGCAAACCCTTTTCTTGCCTGTTTTTGGCTTTTTAAAATTCCTTCCCCATGTGACTCTCCTGATCCTGGGAGTGCTGTTGAAACTGTCAGCAACCTCTCCCCCTCCAAACTCATCCCGGTGTCCAAGCAAGCTCACCAAAGTGGCTTTGTGGCTCCTGAAAGGACCTGAGCATCGGGAAAGGTTTGCATGGATGGACCATGTGAGCCCGCAGGTCCTGCCTCTTGCCTTACCTGTACAGATCCCAGACAGACCTTAGATCCCAGACAGACCTTAGCTTATCTCAACGCTAACTTGGAGTTAATCCCAAAGCAAACCAAAGGACAGTGTCACATCCTGGGGAGTCACTGCACCAGGCTGGGAGCCCAGCCCGAGATTGCACTAACTTACAGCAGAACTGACCCCGTGCCACCCACATGGCTGCTGGCTGGAGCTGCTCACTGAAACGAGGGATCTGCGTTTTCCCAGTCTTTTGGGGCTTCTGAACTTGTGTTCCATGGTGGAAGTGTCCATTCTGCTTTAATGTCCTGTGAGTGGAAGCAGCATTCCCTGTACTCCCTGGGGACACAGGGCTTGTCACCTTGCTCCAGTGGCCACACACCTGCCTGGCCTGGAGAGAAAGCCCATGGCACCCAGTTCCTTACATGGAATAGTTCAGGCATGCAGGAGTTCTCCAGAGATTTGCTCTACATACCAAAGAGGGGAACGTGTCTGGAGGCGATGGCTGGAGGGGATGACAAGGTCTGGCACCTGCCACAGCAGGCAGGCATCTCCCTGCAGCTGGTGGATGATTCCTGCTGGAAAATTCCCATTTATTCCCACCTGCATAGCCCAGGGAGAACACCCAGCTCCAAGAAGGGGGATCCCAGGTGTGCAAGCAAGAATTGTCAGGTGAAGCATCTTCTCTCACTTATACCTCAAGATACTGTTGGTGTCAAAGGGATTGCCCAGATCTCTCCTGAACAATTCGCTTTGCACTGGGGGTCTCTTGGAATGACGTGGTGGGGCTGCGTTGGGTTGAGAAGTGGTGGCACTGTGGGGACACTCGGATGAAGGGGTGCAAGGAGGTGTTGGAGATGGTGGTCTCTGATGCTTCTGGGGGAGGATATGAAGTGGTTTTCCCCTGAGCAGGGAGGGAGGATGCTGGAGAAGTGGAGCTGCTCCTGCCCGTGACACGGAGGGAATGGCAGCTGCCTGGCCGTGGTGGGAGTGCAGCAGCTGCACCCCACAGTGAGTGGGAGGTGATGGGAAGCTCTAAATCCACGTGTTTGGTTTCATGGGGACTCCTTTGTCCCTGAACCTGAAGCAGGAGAGCTGCTGTGGCCATTTCTCCCTGGCAGTGCTTTGGACACGGAATGCTGCAAGACCCACCAGCCAGGTGAGCCTGAGCACTGCTGCAGCTGGGCCCAGGTGTGAGACCCAGCCTTGGAAACACAGTAACTCACTGAAATTCCTCCTTCTGCCCCATCTCCCCCTGCTCCCACCTCGTCCTGGCTCCTCTCCAGGTAGCAGGGAAGTTATCCTTGCCCTGGGTCCATAACGGGCTCCGGTCCAGCTCTGGAGAGGACAAACCTGAACTCTTCTCATGTTGAATCTGCTTCAGGCCATGAACATTGAGGTTCACGTGGTTGCTGATGCTGTTGTGCAAACAGCATGTAAATGAACTGAAATGTCTTATCCCTAATGAAAAGATTTCCTGCTTTTTTAATCTATTAGATATGGAAATATTTTTTGAAACTGAAAAATGCAGTCGGTAGAATTTAAATTGAAGCGTAATACATGTAAAATATATTTTAGTTGATAATTTTGTAAAATGCACTTTTTGTGTCTCTTCCCTGGTTTCCCAGATCTGTATTTCATTGTTTACAGATGGAATGAGAACATTCCCTATTCCCTCCTTCTGTGAGAAAGATATATTAGAAATAATTCTTAAAAAATAAATTTGAAAAATCGTATTGATTTAGAAAACAAACCAGTGCTGGACTGTTCTTCCCATTCCTGCATGAACTTCCCGCCTGGACCTGGTGGTTGCAGGAGTTAGGAGTGCTTGGGATCAGATGTAGGTGCTCATGGTTGTGGGATGAGTGATTTGTTGGGTTTTCCATGGAAATAAAACAAGTGGTAACAGGAGAGGCAGGGATTGACTGATTTTTCTCCAGTCTGCTCTTGACAGCCGCTGTCAGTGGAGTATTTGAGTCTCTGCTGTCCAAGCAGGGCAGGTAGTAGTGACAGATCTTGTTTTAGATAGGCTTTAGGAGCCCTGAGGGAAGCATTTGGGAATGTTCCTTTGGAAAAGTGTCTTGCTTGGAACGCTCTCTCCACCAGCTTCTGCCATCTGAGTGTCACAGCCCCGTGGCACCAAGTGCCACGTGCACCCTGAGGAAGGGCCAATAGCCAAGCCATCTACACAGACATCCCAGGGGGCCAGAAGGATTCCAAGTGGGAGAAGAGCATACAGAAGTCAAATAACCTGCTTGAGGGGCAATGAGGAGCAGGGTAATGGGACTGGGAGTACCTGGTGGGAGTGTCTGCAGCCCCATGCAGGCGAGAGCTGTTCAGGGGTGCTCCCAGCCAGCGACAGAGCTTGGGGGTGCAAGGCTGAAAGCACAGGCGTGTGCAGGAGCGTTGCAGGGGCTCCTGCACACTCATCCTCAGGGGGAGCAGCTCCCGTGGCCCTGGGTGGTGACACAGCCACTCCCATACAGTCCTGAGCCATGGCTCCTCTGGAGCTGGCCCACAGGCTCTTCCTTGACTTTAATGTTTTCCATGTTGGGATGTTCTGCTGCATCCTGGGGCTATGGCTCTTGCACACCTGGGGAGGGAGGGGATGAGTTCTGGGAACAAAATGGGCAGAAGGCAAGAGTAATGTCTGACATGGAATTAGCTCCTAATTTCAGAGAAGGGAGCAGGGGGCGCATGTGGCTCGTGGCCTCAATGCACATTAGCTGGGCATGGCAGAACTGCATCCATAGCCCTTGGATAATCCATTGGACCCTGGCTGCATCTTTCTGAAAATTTGCAGCATCTTTCACTTCCAGGTCACCTTGAGCAGGAGATTCTGAGATGGTCCTGTTGGATGAGCTGGAGCTGCTCAGTCCCTGTTCCCTGCAGCCCTGCTGGCATCACACCTGTTCTTAAATTCCTGATTAAATTTCTTCGTAGGATTAGGAATTTTGCTAGAGGATCCTTGCCTTTTACTTCCTGCTCCCAGCCTTGTCAGCACAGCTTCTCTCAGAGAGCTGCCAGAAGCACAGATCTGGAGAAGCAGATCAAACCAAGAGAATTCCTGAAAAAGGAAACCACAGTGATGAAGTGAATTCATGTGGGAATTTTTCTCCCAAGGGGAGGAGGGAGCTCATCCAGGGACATGTACATTTTGTGAGCTGCTGTGGGATTACTGAGCATGATATTCCCAACCCCATGGCCTAGGATTTCTGCTGAAGAACCAATTTGAGATTTCCCAGTTGGATTTAATGTGACCTGGTTCCTGGGAGCCATCAGTGATGTGGGTGCCAGAAATGGAACAGAAACCTGCCCCCTGTGCGTGACCCACGGCCGGCTCTTATGCTTATCCAGGCATCGATGCTCCCTCAGAGAGGTCCTTTCGAAAGACAACCAAGAAGAAGCTTTTCCATCCCCTCTCCTCCTGCCTGGTGAGCTGTCACCAGAAGGATAATCTGTGGCAGGCTGAAAAGTTGGGATTAATGTCAAACAAAATTGGATTTACTGTTAAAATCTGCTACCCGAGGGAGGCGCACAGAGCCGTATCCGGCTCTCCTCGATCTGACATTCAGCAAACTGCTCTTGTGTCATGACTGACACTGCCAGGACTGTTCTGCTGCCACTGAGGCAGAGTCCTTTTGGCCACAGGTTGTCCTTGGAGTCCTCCATGCATCAGGAAGGCGTGGGCTCACCGTCTGGAAAGCGTGAGGTGTGTGGCCATTGGAATCCCGCCCGGCTTTGGCCAGCTGGGCATCCCCTGGCAGGTTTTGATGACGAGCAGTGGTTCAGGTACCTGGCAGAGCCAACCTGCTGTGTCCCATTTCCCTCATTTCCACGTGTGGTGTCTGAAGGTGACAGAGCCTTGTGGCAATTGCAGGGAGAAGGAGGCACTTGGGGTGCTGGGAAGGAGCTGTTTGGGCTATGGGCACCTCCAGAGGCTTTGGATAAGGTTTGGGCACAAGGGTGAGAGTTGTTGAAAAGTGCATCTTGACCTTTGGGAATCAATTCTTTGAGAAGCACAGCAGTGTCCTGCAGATTCAGGGATGCTGGTGTGGCTCTTTGTTCTGCTTTGGAGCAGCTCTTTTTTCCAGGGAAAGTGCCAGCTGGTCTCCTGATGCTGCTGTGGGAGCCTTCTTGGGGTTTCCT